CGTCCACCGGGGGCGGGGAGCGTCGAGGCGTCCACCGATGGCCATCCAGCGTCGCCTAATAATTGGTCAGTTCAACCCAGAGGACTGCACCAGAGCTAGGAGCCATTGCGACGAAAAGGCAAATTAACCACAGATTTTCTATTTTAAAACAATTATATCTAGGTATTAGTAGGGCGTTGTCATTTGAAAATGTGTTTGACTTTGTTTCATTACAAACAAAAGTATATTTTGGATTTTATTTTACGATTTTTTTTAAATTGTTTGTCGTTTTTTGGCAATCTAGGGTGTGGCCTGTGTCCCACCCACCACTACCTTACAGGACACACCCTAGTCCTAACTCCAAGTGTTTACGTGAGATGAACTGCCAGCTTTGTCTAATTTTCTAACTTTCCAAGGCTGTCCGAGGGTCATCGCCGCTGTGGGGAATCCGCAGTGCCATCAAGCATGGTGCGCGAGTCGCCGCCGCTCGCCGTGGGCCGGAGCCTGCTGCTGTCCGCCGCATAAGGGGAGGAGCAGGGAGCGGGGGACTCGCGGCCATGGACGCTCGAGGCGGGCGCTGGGGTGCGTTGCTGGTGGGACGTCCGAGCTCGCCGCCGACCGCCTGGGAATGGAGGGGCGGCTGCCTTCCGGGAGGGAGAGGAGGAGTCACCGCCGCTTGCCGTGGGCCGGAGCCTGCTGCCATCCGCCAGTTAAGGGGAGGAGCAGGGAGCGGGGGACTCCTGCCGTCTGCCCAAGGCACCCGAGGAGCCGTCGCCGTCCACCGGGGGCGGGGGAGCGTCGAGGCGTCCACCGATGGCCATCCAGCGTCGCCTAATAATTGGTCAGTTCAACCCAGAGGACTGCACCAGAGCTAGGAGCCATTGCGACGAAAAGGCAAATTAACCACAGATTTTCTATTTTAAAACAATTATATCTAGGTATTAGTAGGGCGTTGTCATTTGAAAATGTGTTTGACTTTGTTTCATTACAAACAAAAGTATATTTTGGATTTTATTTTACAATTTTTTTTTAATTGTTTGTCGTTTTTTTGGCAATCTAGGGCGTGGCCTGTGTCCCACCCACCACTACCTTACAGGACACACCCTAGTCCTAACTCCAATTGTTTATGTGGGGTGAACTGCCAGCTTTGTCTAATTTTCTAACTTTCCAAGGTATACAATGCGCAGTACGCTTTTTGTCCATTGGTAATTTCCCCGCACATAGTGCAGCACTACAACTTCCCTACTTAGCTGAACTGAAATGGCAGCTTTTACCTAACTGTGAAGATGGATACAGGTTTTAAGGATGCAGACTAAGACAGACTGTGCCATGGGCAAATAATTGGTCAGTTCAACCCAGAGGACTACAGCAGAGCTAGGAGCCATTGCGACGAAAAAGCAAATTAACCACAGATTTTCCATTTTAAAACAATTATATCTGGGTATTAGTTGCGCTTTGTCATTTGAAAATGTGTTTGACTTTGTTTCATTACAAACAAAACTATATTTTGGATTTTATTTTAAGATTTTTTTTTTAAATTGTTTGTCGTTTTTTTGGCAATCTAGGGTGTGGCCTGTGTCCCACCCACCACTACCCTACAGGACACACCCTAGTCCTAACTCCAAGTTTACTTGGGGTGAACTGTCACGTATTAGTTGCGCTTTGTCATTTGAAAATGTATTTGACTTTGTTTCATTACAAACAAAACTATATTTTGGATTTTATTTTACGATTTTTTTTTTTAATTGTTTGTCGTTTTTTTGGCAATCTAGGGTGTGGCCTGTGTCCCACCCACCACTACCTTACAGGACACACCCTAGTCCTAACTCCAAGTGTTTACGTGGGGTGAACTGCCAGTTTTGTCAAAGTTTTCAACTTTTCAAGGTATACAATGTGCAGTGCGCTTTTTGTCTATTGCTAATTTCCCCGCATATAGTACAGAACTACAACATCCCTACTTACCTAAACTGACATGACAGCTTTTACCTAATTGTGAAGAAGGATACAGGTTGCATATGCATACAACAAATGCAAACATAACAAACACCAAATTACATTTTCATGATAAAAGAAGTACAAAAAGAACACAATAAGACTCTTAAGAAAAACAAGGACATGTCTCCATCACAACACTCTTTACAGTAGTTTTAAATTCATTCATGGACATAAGGGTTTCTAACCCTAGCTCTATACGCTGATTTCACACAGCCGCCATTTTGAAATGGCTCTGGTGGGAAGAAAACCGGAAGTGCCGCTTTTAATCATAGGAAAGTCGCGAATGCGATGGCGTATGTTTTGTGTTTAATGTAGAAATGAGTTATTCTAAAAATGTAGGCTACATATATTTCTTTCATACTTTAGACTATATACAGTGAAATTAATTTATAAATATATATATTTTTATATATAATTCAGAACATAAAAAAGAAGAAGCTATATACATATCCTATATTTGATTTTAACATCCAATTTAGTCAATCGCAGCAACAGCTTCAGGTAGTCCAAGGCATCTTTGTCTATCTGTACTTCCGGGGTTCTCCCACCGGGGCCTCGCTTTTGATTTCAAAATGGCAGCTGCGTGAAATCCGCGTATATATTTCGATTGATGTGGTCATGCTAGTCCAGCAACAAAATGATTATTAGGGTCCATGTCAATGCAGCTAATGTGTTCAATGTATTGTTGTTTACATTATATTTACATATAAATGTGTTTTTCAAATGTAAAGGTACACACCATGTAACGTTTGTTGCTCTAGTGGTTATTAAACAAAATCGCACGTGTCTTGTGGAAGAACTTAATGGCTGGAGCTACTTCTCTCTGTTTATGTGAGTCACACTGGTATTGGGCTTCTCCGATATTAAAGGTGCTCTAAGAGATGTCACGTATTTTTTAGGCCAAAACTTTTTTTTGTCACATACAGCAAACATCTCCTCACTATCCGCTAGTTGCCTGTCCCCTGAACACACTGTAAAAATACATGGTCTCTGTAGACAGCCCAGGCTCCACAAACAGCAACAAGAACAAAAAAAGAAAAAAACTGGGGCAACCCGCTCTACGAAACAAAAGAAAACGTGTTTCAGCCAATAAACGACAAGAGGGATTTGGGGGTGTTTTCTATTTGGTAAACTAATAAAGTATTAATACTCAGTCAAATCAATATTTTGTCTACAATTATTTAATTATGCCATCCAGTATCGCGGATTTGCTCTCTCTAGTTTCATACAAACGCAGCATGCTGCCATTGTGACTGTTGTTTGGTACACTGTTGGATTATAAGATACAAACAGGTACGAATTTAAAACCGACCCTTTTGGTCTCTGACAAGTTAAGTGCTTTTGCCCCGTGAAGGTAGGCCTTTTACCCCACAAACAGGGTTATGCCACCTCATGCATTTATACGATTTTTAAACAAAGAACTTTTCTGATTTATTTTCACACAATCTGTTGCTCCATCAATGTTCAATAAAAAACATATTTTTGTTCCACAATCATACACTATGGGAGTGATTAAATGCACATTTAGCCCCGTTTTACCCAATTACGTATAGAAAAGTATGGCTAATTTCATATTTTCTATACTTACAATTTTACATTTAAAACACTAATTGCACAATATTATTCCTGCTGCAACTGTATTCTAAATAAGAGAAGTATAATTAATAGTAATAGTAAATGGTAATTTCTGTCAGTAATGAGCAACATTGATTTTGCTCATTTACCGATTTCATCATAATGCCAAAGGACATACTTATTCCTTTATATATTTAAATAAATAAATATGAAGGTAATTTAAATGTGTTCTACAGTATGTAACTACTACAGTATATGTATATATCTTTTATGTATATTTTTACAGTACATTAATGGTAATTAAGTAATTATAAGAGGGGTGGCATTTTTTCCACCTGAGCATGTACTATTGCAGTGATTCAGGATAAGACAAAAACAGGATTTGGATTCATGATGTACTCACTCATATAAATTTAGCAAATTCTGAACAAAAACGTTACAGAGTGTACCTTTAACAAACCTTTAACTAGCCTATAACTTATAATAATTAGTAAAATGTCACATCTTACTCGTTGATGACTTCTTGGCATCTGTTTATAGACGAGCCTGCTTGTCGTGTTGCTGTTGGTGACTCTTCTGTCATCTGTCCTCACGCCTGCTAGTTTTGTTGGTGATGACTCCTACGATCTTCTTTTTTTGTGCAAAAGTCTGTGAATAAAACGGCAGTTTTGAACACTTCTGACCGCAGTATCAAGAAACCTTCTCCAAAGTAAAGAGCAAGATTTCTTCTGTGACGTCACAATGAGACTTTCTGCGGCTGAGCATCAAGCACATTCCAATGGTCTGACGTGGCTAGTCCCCTGCTAGTGCATATTTGGCTAAGAAATTGTTTATTTTCAAAGCTATTAAAGTGATCCAGGCAAGAGCTGTGAGTGGTTTTCTGTTTTTATTCTCATTAATTAACAGAATAGACAGCAACAGGTTCTGTACATTAAGCAGCTATTGCTTTAATACACAGATATAATAAACAGGTGAATTCGTTGCTAGTTGTTTACATTCACTGATAATCGACTGTATGGTGGACTTGTGTGGTTTAACATTGTAAGTTATGTGGTGACAGTTAAGGCAAATATATGTGAAAGAAAACTTAGTTTAGTACTTACGACATGATGAGTCCTGTCGTGACAACGGGAGTATTCCAGAAACCATCAAACATAACGTACACTAAACTCTTGGTTGATTAAATTAAACCTTGCTTGCTTGAGGTAACGTTGTGCTGGTTCTAAAATCGCGTAAGTTAGTTCAGCCAAGCCAACCCAGACCATGGCGTCGTCGGTTAACACACAAGACAGTCTTCTTGTTGTCGATGTTTCCAAACACAGGGACGAGTCACCATGGAAACAGAAATCGCTACACGACGTCATAACATACGGGCATTTGCCGACCCGGCGCCATTGCTGAGGGCAAAACAATAGAAGAAGCAATACGAGTTGAACGAAGTGTTTGGGGGGTTGACCAAGATGGCGCTCTGAGTAGACGTGTTTCTCTGAGCTCCGCAAACCGAACTGTTTTCCATATAGTTAAATTGTGTACATAACGGACTTTTTGCTGTTAGTTCATGTACCGCGTTTGTTCGGCTGTGTTCTGGCTACCTTTGCTGGTAAAATGAAGCCTCAGGAGAAGAGGAAAAGCGGCACTAAAAAAGCGCTTGCTCAAACGTGTTCTACCAAAATGGCTGAAACGGTTGCTTCCACTGAGCAGTCAGATTCAAACAACATGCTCATTGACAACATGCATGACTACCTCGAGTCAGACACGGAGGTACTGAAGGTCTCGTTCGTGGATGATTTTCCACCACTTTCCATTACCCCGGTTAAATCACCTGCACCTAAATTGAGACGTGTGGAAGATTCGACAACTGATGCAATTCTCTCCCAGCTTTCCTCCCTCTCTCAACTGATAAACAGCAGGTCAGATGCCTTGGAAAAGTTGGTCAGTGACAACTCCGTGGTGATTGCCGACGTGAAGATGGCAGTTACAGAAAACACCAAGCAGATCGCCGGAATTAAAGATTCCTTTGATGCTGTATGTGCTGAAGTAAATAGCGTTAAAGAGAGAGTCGACCGCTGTGAATCGCTGATTGAGGCTTGCAAAGTTAATACTGACAAAGCTGAGCAGCGTGTTTCTCAATTAGAAGCGTACTCCCGACGCTGGAATCTCAAGCTCTACGGCCTAGAAGAAAACGATCAGCAGGATCTGCGACATGAGTTCATCCAGATATGTCTGCGTCTGCTTCCAGAGGCTAAAACCAAGCTTCCAGATGCCATAGACGTTGTTCACCGCCTCGGCCCAAGGAAACCTGGTAACATTCAACCGAGAGGTGTCATTGCGCGCTTCTCTTCCAGATTCTACCGTGATGCTGTGTGGCGCTCGGCAAAGAACTCCGGCTTCCTGAAGACCAAAAACCTGAAACTGGCGGAGGACTTGTCGGCAGAGGACAGAGAGAAAAGAAAGAAACTGTGGCCCGTTATTGATCAGGCTCGGAAAGATGGCAAGCCAGCTTTTTTCGTGGGTGGTCGTGCTTTTGTGGGTGGAAAGGAAATTTTCCCACCTTGAGACTTTGTAGATGAGGTAATTCTAGTGCATAGCTTAAGGCTGTCTTTACTTAGGTTCTTTAGGTGATTTAGTCAGGTTTTATTACCTACTATTTATGTTACTGAATCAAAGTTTCTCTTTGGAGCAGAGTTTCAAAAATTGTTCTAACATGCTTGTTATTACATAGCATGTCACTCTATATTCAGCAATATATATATTTATATATATATATTTTATTTCGATCGAGGGGGTTAAATAGTTAATTAATTTATAATTATTTTTATAATCACTAAATTGTGTGGGAGTAAAAGAAAACAGGTTCCTTTTAGGTTTTCCTTGCATAGGACCCTTTTCATAAAATGTTTACAGTCTGTTTGATTGTACTGATAGGATATGTTCACAAATTTCTTATAAGGTTTGCTGTTCTCAGACCCATGTTGGCGCTTTTGTAGAGACCTTATCCTATTTCTATTCTTATACGTTCTACCATTTTTCTGGTCTAGTTTTTCTTGTATTTATTTTTTCTTTTTTCTTATGTCTTTATCTATTATTTCTTTAAACACAAGAGGTTTAAGAAACCACCTTAAACGAAAGGCTATATTTTTATACTGTAAACAGCTTAATTCTGATTTTTGTTTTGTGCAGGAATCACACTCAATTGAACAGGATGCTAACTTTTGGAAATCACAGTGGGGGGGTGACCTGTGGTTATCTCATGGATCTGAGCGCTCAGCTGGTGTTTGTATTTTAAAAAACCGCTTTAGTGGAAAAGTTTTAAACTCTGATTGCGACAAAAGCGGTCATTACATATTTTTAGTTTTAGAAATTGCTAGCGTAAACTATATTATAGTTAATGCTTATGGCTTCAATTCTCAAACTGAGAACCACAGTTTTTTTGTTAAGTTGGAAGAACGACTCTCTTACTGGTTATCTAAATTCCCAAACTCTTCTATCGTTTTGGGCGGAGATTTTAATACTGTGTTAGATAATAGCCTGGATAGGTTGCCTGTAAGGAATGCGGTCTCCTCTAATTTGTATGTGAAGACTCTCTTACATAGTTTTAATTTAACTGATATTTGGAGAGATACTCACCCACTACAGAAATCTTATACTTGGAGCAATAAATCATTATCAAGGCAGTCCCGCATTGATTTCTGGCTTATTTCCAAGGATTTGAAAAATGTAGCTGCGAACATCTTACCAGCGCCCCTATCTGATCATAAGACTATTCAAATTCTCATTCCTTCTCTCTCTCCCAGTTCACCAAAAACCTCTTATTGGAAACTAAATAGTACTCTCCTTAAACACAAGGAAGTGACTTCTAAAATTGAGAGTTTTATTCAGCTTTACTGGGACAAAGCTCAAAGTGAGAATTGTTTTAGCATTAATTGGGAGTTGTTAAAGTATGAAATTGCTAAATTTCTCAGGAAATATAGTAGTGATTTAGCTAAAAAAAGAAGAACAGAAGAAAATGACACTATACTTAAAATTGCTTCTTTAACTTCTAAGCCTTTAGATATACTTACTGAGTCAGAACAATTGGAACTTACTAATCAGCATGTTACGCCTGCCTGTTTACCCCTACTGGCTCTGCTACACAGTGCAGACGTTAGTTGGGCAACAGGTGTATACAATCCCTAATTAACTCCTTATAGGGGTTAGTATAAAGACCTGTGACTTGGTGTGAGAGCTCTCTCATCTCTCACATCTCTCTCATCTCTCGCACATTATTTCTTTAGTATTGTTGTTTTCCCATATTTATTTTTAGTGCCAGATATTGTTTATTTAGTAACCACGCGCGTGTGTTTTCCCCTCCCCTAGACGTCGGGTTTTTTTTCTTTCTTTTTGATTATTTAACATTTGTTTGCTTGGTTGATAATAAATTGGTTTATTGTTAAAACATTTGTTGTTTGCCTCTTTTATGTTGCGGTATATGAGCCAGCCGTAACATAAAAATGGGGGCTCGTCCGGGATTTTTTTGAGCGTTTGTTTTGAGGGAGTATTTTATTGTCTCTTCAGGATTTCTTGTAAGGTTTGGCTTTTCACTCCGGTTAGTTAGAGTGTTTCAGCTGGGCAGCTCGTGAGCGTCCTTCCATCGGAACACTGTTTGTTGTTTTGTTGATTTCTTTTTGTATCTTATTTGGAGTTTTGGAAGGAAATCCTGGGTGGGGGTACGCTTCTCGCGCAGCTGAACTCATTTAGAGAACAGCTGTTACGAGGTTCAGCGTTTCAAGTCGCCTCGAGCCCGGCAGTCCTTTGAAGACTAGTAAGGATAGTTAGTTTCAACAGGCAGGCATATCGGAGATGAAAAGCCAAAAGAAATCCTGGTGAGTACTTTATATTTCTCCTTGGTGTTTGTTTAGTTTGATTAAAGAGAGCATGTTTTCGCGCGTGGTAAGTTTGTTTTTTATATAGGAAGTTGATGTTTGTGTAGAACGGTTAAAATACTAAATTTGATTCGTTTACACGAAGATCCTGTGTCAATAGTGATCGATGACAAGTAATAAGTTTGTCACAGCTGTTGTATCCTATTGAGTGTGACCGATTGTTGTTTACTGTGAGTAAATTAGCACTGCATTGAACGGTTACAGGGTTGAAATTTTCCTATCGAAATTGAGCATTAGATTTATTGTCCTAGTAATAACACTGAAATTGTTGATGTGACTTTAAGGTCTGTTTGATTAATCTGAATAATAAAAACAGGATTTGTTTTATCTTGGAAATATTAATTCATTTGATCTTTTTGCATTTCTAGTGTTATAGTGGATTGAGCTAGGCTGTGCGAAATGGTATGTCAATGTATTATTGAATAATCATTTGGGCTTAGGCTGTTTTCTGGCACTTTTGTTTTGGGAGGATTTATTAGAATTATTTTTGATTTGTTGTGGTCAATTAACTAATCTTCATTGTGTGAATTATATGTTAGTCAAAAAAATGACTTCCATCATGAAATTGAATGTAGAGCTTTCTGAGAAGTTTCTAGATAGGTGCACCAAAGAACAACTTTTAGAAGTCGCAGAGAGTCATGCAATCATATTGACTGGAACTGATAAGAAGCGCAAGGAGGATTTGTTAAGAATTGTTAAATCCCAATTGATAGTCAGAGGAATTCTGGTTGTAGGAGATGAAGCTGGTAGTGGTAAGGCAGCATCTTCACCAGTTGAGAGAGATTTAATGTCAATAGAGAAACAAACACAGTTTGAAACTGAGAGACTATCGTTTGAAGGTTCTCAAGCATTAGAAGAGAAGGAATGGGATAAACGTGTTCAGTTTAAAAAATTAGAGCTTGAACAGGAGCGTGAGCGTGCACAATTTGAGCTGAGGAAGTTAGAGTATGCACGTGAGAGCGAACGTGAACTTAGGCAGTATGAGATGAAGAAGTTAGAACTTGAACTGGAAGTAAAAAAAGCTGAAGCTTCAAAGTCCATTCCGGTTGGGCATTCTTCTTTTGATGTAGGTAGAAACATTAAGATGGTTCCCCCATTTTGTGAACGTGATGTAGACCGGTACTTTGCCCATTTTGAAAGGGTTGCTTCTTCTCTAAAATGGCCAGAAGAAGTCTGGACTTTGCTTTTGCAGTGTGTTCTGACCGGGAAGGCTCAGGAGGTGTTTTCTTCTCTTTCCGAGGAAGAGAGTGGAGATTTCAAACAAGTTAAAATAGCCATTTTGAGAGCGTATGAGTTGGTACCAGAGGCTTATCGCCAACGATTTCGTGGTTCTAAAAAACTTGAAAGGCAAACATATGTTGAATTTGCTCGGGAAAAAGAAATCACGTTTACAAGGTGGTGTCAGTCTCAGAAAGTAGAAACCTTGAACCAGTTAAGGGAGTTAATTCTTGTGGAAGAATTTAAAAACTGTGTACCAGGGTCTGTGTCAACTTATTTGAATGAGCAGAAGGCTCTTACATTAGCTGATGCAGCTGTGTTGGCTGATGAATTTGTTCTGACTCACAGAGTTTCTTTTCCTGATAAAGGTTCAAGTGATCAGAGTAGGAAGTTATTTCGGAATCATTGGACGCCTCAAGTGAGTACATCGAATACCGTGTCAAGTGTGCCCCCTGTCAGTCAGAATTTTTCATCAGACAAGAAGGGTAAGGTGACCTGCTTTTACTGTCACAAGGTGGGACATAAGATATCTGAATGTAACGCTTTAAAGAAGTCTGCTAAGCCAGTTGGACTGGTTGGACGTGAACCGCTGGAGATTCATGCTCACCAACAGGACACTGAGATTGGGAAGGGGATCTCAAAACCAGTAGATGTCGGGGATAATTATACTGCGTATGCTCCGTTTATTACCAGCGGCTTTGTGTCTTTGCCAGGACAAGAGGAAAAAGTTTCTTTGAGGATCCTGAGAGACACCGGAGCTTCTCAATCGTTTTTGCTAGAAGGGGTTCTTCCACTCTCAGATCAGACTGCGACTGGGAAGGATGTATTGATTAGGGGGATAGAAATGACTTTCTTAAAAGTTCCCTTACATAAGGTACATCTTATATCTGATCTGATAACTGGTGATGTGATTGTGGGAGTACAGTCTTCCCTTCCTGTGCCAGGGATTTCTTTTATCTTGGGGAACGATCTTGCTCAGGGGAATGTGTGGGGAACATCAACATCAAAACCTGTACCATCTACTGTTGTCGTGTCTTCACCTATGTCTGCAGATGTTCCTGATGAATGTGGTCAGAAATTTCCCCATGTGTTTCCTTCCTGTGCTGTCACCCGAGCCAGAACAAAACGACTAAATGCCGACCAACTGTGTGAAGGTGAAGTTTCTTTACATCCTGAGGCTGATGGTGAGACAGTTGAAGGGGAACAAATTGGTATGACCTTGGCAGAGAACATTTCTGATTTCTTTTCTGAGGAGTCTGTATTTCGGGAGAAAACAATATCAGAAGATCTTTTATCCTCTATTTTTCATGTTTCTAGAGCGGAATTGATTCAAGAACAATTTGCTGATGTAACTCTTAAACCTTTGTTCTCAATGGTTCGTGTCGACGGGGATATTGAGACTCAGCTTCCCTCTGGTTACTTCCTGAAGGATGGAATGTTGCTTAGACGGTGGGTTAGTAAATCTGAACCCGTTACTAAGGTTTATGTTCAAGTGGTAGTTCCTCTTAAATTTAGGCAGACTGTGATCGGGTTAGCACATGATGGAGTGGCTGGACATATGGGAGTGAGGAAAACACATGATCGATTGCAACGCAAGTTCTTCTGGCCTGGTTTAAAAAGAGACGTGGCAAAGTTTATTAGAACTTGTCATGTGTGCCAACTCACTGGAAAGCCAAACCAGAAAATACCTGTGGCTCCTCTTCAACCTATTCAAGCTATATCCAAACCATTTGAGTATTTGCTGGTTGATTGCGTAGGTCCTTTACCTAGATCAAAGACTGGTCACTTGTATCTACTCACAGTTATGTGTTTATCTACCCGGTATCCAGCTGCATATCCTGTCAGGTCCATTACTGCAAAATCTATTCTAAAAGCTTTAACTTCTTTCATGTCAACATTTGGTATTCCTAGAATTATCCAGTCTGACCAGGGCTCTAACTTTATGAGCCGTCAGTTTGCTAAGGCCTTACGTCAGTTGAAAATCCGGCATAACATTTCCAGTGCATACCACCCTCAGAGTCAAGGGGCCCTCGAAAGATTTCATCAGACCCTGAAGTCATTGCTACGATCATACTGTGTGGAGCTTGGTTCTGATTGGGAGGAGGGGTTGCCTTGGTTGCTTATGGGAGTTAGAGAGGTTACTCAGGAGAGTATTGGATTCAGTCCAAATGATCTGGTATTTGGTCATGAAGTTCGTGGTCCCACTGCAGTTTTAGCTGACAACTGGATTCCTTCTGAGCCCTCCCAGAATGTTTTGGATTTTGTGAGTGGTTTTCGATACCGGTTGCATGAGGCTCGAGCAATTGCTCAGAGGAAACTGGGGAAGTCACAGTGTAAGATGGAGAGGTTGTTTAACAAACAAGCAGTGGCTCGGAAATTTCAGGTTGGAGACCAGGTGCTAGCTTTGTTGCCACTTGTAAGTAATCCTTTTCAAGCCCGTTTTGCAGGTCCTTATCCGGTCCTCAAATGCCTTTCTGGACAGAATTATCTTTTGAAAACCCCAGAACGACGCAAGGGAGTACAGGTTTGCCACATAAATCTTCTGAAGCCTTACTTTCTTCCTACATCTTCTGTGGGGTTAGTAACCACTGTGATTGATGATTCTTCTCATTTGAGTGGGGAGGGGACTTTCTCTTCAGAGAATTCCTCCTCGAACTGTATGGGGGATGATTGCATTCACTTTCCTTCTCGAGGAGTTGTCGAAGGACAATTGAATAATTCTGAGATGTTTTCAAAATTGGCCCATCATTTACCCCATCTGTCTCCCTCTGAGAAAAGTGACATTCTTCAGTTAGTGGAGTCTTTTCCTCACTTGTTTTCTGATGTGCCTACTTGTACTACAGTGATTGAACATGACATCGACGTGGGTTCTGCTTTACCAATTAAGCAGCATGCATATAGGGTAAACCCTGTGAAACGGGACTTGTTGAAAAAGGAGGTGACTTACTTATTAGA